AGTCCAACTCCAAGATCAAAATCACGGTGATTGAATTATCGTTGAACCTCATATAATCGAATTCCGTGGGACCAGCAAAAAATAACCGACGTGGGTATAGGTTCCGATTTAGGGAACCTATACCACAAAGTTATTAAAAATACTTTGTGAGCAGATGGCAAGTGTGATAAAATTTGCGATGTGTCCGTGGAACCTGTGACAATTTTCATTTTAAAAATTAAATCAAGTTGAAATTCGTGATTATATTTTTAACCCAAAAAGTGCGTTGTAAGGGAGTTGTTTTTTCTCTTGCCTGTCGAAAATTTGTGTCGTGGAGCTTTGAGAAGAAAAGTCTTTCAATTAGTGAGGTTTATAATGCTTATTTTTTTTCAAGGGAATTCAGACCGGGACTTTAAAAAATTCTAGCTATAGGAAGGTATTCGACTTTGGGAGGTTCGAGTTATCGAGGTTCAACTGTATTTCAAGCGTGTTATTGTCCATTTTTACAGCAGGGATTTTTAAAGTTATTAAAAATACTTTGTGAGCAGATGGCAAGTGTGATTAAATTTGCGATGTGTCCGTTTCATGGTAGGTTTTTCGCTGGTCGTGTCTCCCTTGGTTTCTCTCATGGAAGATCAAATCATGGCTCTCAAGAAGCTCAGTTATCCTGCGGAGATGTTGTCAGCAAGTGCAGACAGGAAAGCTGTCAACGAAGTGATGGGTGTGAGAAACAGATTATTTTGATCACCGATATTTCTTAATTTTTGAATAACCTGGAAATCGTGTGGTTCAAGTTTAGAATATTCTCTGGTTCTTATCGCTAAAAAAATTTACCGCGAAGTTTTCTTTGAAGTCTTGAACTGCGAAACTTTCAATTTGTTCATTCAAATTTATATCTGTATTTGCGAATGAAGCAGTTATGCCTAATTTTATAGCGTTTTTTGTTCGCGTCGCGAAGAGTCCCGTAATTTAGTTCGATGGATTATCAGTAATCTTTTCACTTTTTATTGTTACAATACTCCTGAAACTTTTGCGTATTAAATAGATGAAAATTCTCTTGAAAGACTAGGAAAACACGGAATAATTACCGAACGTTGTGATGGAGAGTTTCCGCAAAATACTAAAATTTTTAATTAAATTAAATTGTTTGACAGCTAGTGATATTTATTTCATCATGAACCGTTCTTTATCACAAATAAAATTTAGTAATGGGCAAAAGATTATGCAGTAATTCATCTTTTCTTTCTCTTTTCAAGGAACATTAACGTTCATCACTTTCCAAATTTCGCAGGCGATGACGAATCCAAAGGCTCCGTTGAAACTCTTGCTTGTGACTCCAGAAAAGCTCGGGAAAAGCAAGCGGTTTATTTCCAAGCTCCAAAAAGCTTATGAAATGGGCCGTTTTTCGTTGATGGCTGTGGATGAGGTGCATTGTTGTTCCCAATGGGGACACGATTTCCGAAGAGGTTCGCATTCTTTCGATTTGACACTCTAAAATTTTAGTTTGTACGATTGAAAACCTTGATTTGTCGCCAGTTCTGGAAGTGTTTCTCTCGTGTTCGCTCTTTTGGCGTTAGGGATGAGGTGTTCGGGAATCTAGGGTTTGTCGCTGAAACACGACTTGGTAGGCTTTTTTCAAACACAAATTTAATGTGAATACAGAGAGGCCCCGAGATGCGGACGTATTTCGTCCTTGGACCTTGTTCCTATGTCGGCTCACGTTTTTCCTTGGACTTCAATCAAAATACTGTACTCGATTAGTTCTCTTCTTAATTAAGAAATTAGGAAGGAATCTTCCAAAAATTGAATAAAATAATTTTTTCTCAACTTATTCAAGTTAGAGAAAATGACTCTTGAAGAAAGCCGCACTAAATGTGATCTTTTTGCAGGAGCCTAAAAAGGAAAAAACATGCGTAGGTATTGTTATATTTCTCTGTGTTCAGGAAAAAAAAGCACAAAATTAGCCTGTTTTGTACAGTTTTGTAATTTATGGTGAATCTGTATTAGAATTTATTTCAATTTTTTGAATAAAGAAAGCTCAATTCGTTGAAGATATATCAAATTAAAAAAGCATGTTTCAATTTTTCTATAATCGTTGGTAAAATTGTCAGCATTTCGAGATATTTTCTGAATGTTGGGCAGATTTTGTTGTTGTCATCAAGTGTCCCTAAGTCGAATTGTCCAGATGTCGAAGCCACGCTGTTTTTACTTTCGATCGGACTCATTTATGTTATTTTTGAACGGATCATTGATATTAGAATCACATTTCTGAAATTAAATAAGGTATGACCTTTGATTTGGAAAGAACCCAAAACGCATTATTGGAGTACTGTACGTGAGAGAAAAATTTCGCACACTGTTGAACTGAAGCATATTTTTTTTATTTTTTGCTATAAGTTTTCTTATGAAAATGCTGTTGTTTCAAATGGCAAGGACCAAAAAATTGCAATTCTCAAATTACGGACCAGACAATCTGATCCGTCTAAATTAATAAGTCATTGGCTTTCAGTAAGAAACTTGATGTTCTCAAAGGTTCTATAATTTATTTCCATGTGCCTTTAGAGAAGTGCAGAAAATACTTCAAGACATTACTGTAAATGAGGTTTGGATTTTAAAAGATGATAAACTGCCACTTGCCGTCATTGGAGGCGGATGTAATTTTTTCTTTTGCTCTTCAATCCTTCATTGGTGTCTAATAATAAGTTTTTCATTGAATATTCAGCTACAGAAGGAACAAAGAAAAAGACCTGGATCACAGTGAATCCCCTCGACTGAATGACTGAAGTAAAGCTTACCATGTAACCCCCAAAATCATAGAGCATGCAAGTGCGCATTCAGCTGCTCTTGATCAATTAAAGTTCACTTCAGTGGTTGGAATTCACTGAGATCCAAGTCTTCGTCTTTTTTCCTTCTGTAGCTGAATGTCGATGAAACATTTATTAGACACCCATAAAGAATTTAAGAGCAAGAGAAAAAATTGCATCCGCCTCCGCAATGACGGCAAGTGGCCATTTATCATCTTTTACAAACCAACCCGTGTATAACAAAGCAATTTATTGCTTTTTATACAAGTTTCAAATTTGTACAAGCACAGAGCAATACAACATAGACAGAAGGCTTCATATGACGAATTCTCGTCAGTGAGTATATGTTGTGACCACGCAAGCCACGTGTACATTATTGTTCTGAGCAAACAAGGTCATGGGAATGTGCCTTGTAATAACTGATCAAAATCTGTGTTGATACGAGGGTTCTAACAAAAGTTCTCGGAGTCAACCACAAGGCATTGCCGGAGGTGGATGAACATTTTTTTATTGGATTCCTCATCCTTTTTTAGCCTAGGACCAATTTTTTTGTCATCCCTAGACAAAAATGGAAACTGGGAAAAAAAATTGAATGAGTTTTTTCTGGTGATGTGCCCACCCATTCTAANAATTGAATGAGTTTTTTCTGGTGATGTGCCCACCCATTCTAACAGAAGTTCTTGGAATCAACCACAAACCATCACTGGAGATGGACATAGATTTTTTTATAGGATTCCTCATCCTTTTCTGGCCTAGAATCATTTTTTTTCATCCCCAGACAAAAATGGAAATGCAAAATAAAAAGTTTAATGAGTGGTATCCAATGAAGTGCCCACCCATGACCAAAGAGCACTTGCGCACATGCATGCTCCTGCACACACTGCTTTAAAAACTCTTGATTTCATTTCAAATTTGGGGATCCAGCTTTTTACTCTTCCTTCTTACTCCCCTGATCTTGCCCTGAGATTTTTGGTTGTTTCCAACTGTGAAAGAAGGGCTTCAAGGGAAAGTGATTTTTGTCAATAAGAAAATTTTTTTGACCCAAAAGTTTTTTTTTTTCATTTTCATTCCAAGAACTTCTGTTCTCTTCCTTCTTACTCCCCTGATCTTGCTCCCTGAGATTTTTGGTTGTTTCCAACTGTGAAAGAAGGGCTTCAAGGGAAAGTGTTTTTTGTCAATAAGAAAAATTTTTTGACCCAAAAGTTTTTTTTTCATTTTCATTCCAAGAACTTCTGTTGGAATGGATGGGCACAGCACCAGAAAAAACTCATTCAATTTTTTTCCCAGTTTCCATTTTTTGTCTAGGGATGAAAAAAAAATTGGGTCTAGCTTAAAAAAGGATGAGGAATCCAATAAAAAAATGTTCATCCATCTCCGGTGATGGCTTGTGGTTGACTCCAAGAACTTTTGTTAGAACCCTCGTATGCAAGATTTTGGACGGATTTTTGAAAGTGTTGAAGAGTGCTTTTCATGTTTCCGAATGTCTCTGATGCTCTTCTATGGTTTTTTTCTGTCAGAATGTTTTATTGAGGATTCACGAAATAAATTTCGAATGAATCCGTAGCAAATTTTCATTCCTAATACAAGTAACGCCTTAAGAGTGGTTAGTTGCAAGACTTTTTGGTGCTGAATACATAAATTTTTTATGGAACAATGTAAAATGTGCCACATTTATTTTGTAGCTGCTGACATATAGTAAGACTTGTTGTCCCTCCACACACACAATCAGGCATAGAACACCCTCTTGCAGAAAAGCATACACTAAGTGGAACACGACGGTAGCGGTTTATATTTGCACTCACTCAGGTAGCGGATAATGACTTAACAGTACACACAATAAAGGCACTCATTGACTCTTGACAACCATTTGGTTTGGGAGCTATAGACAAAGTGAGGCTTGCTTAGGCCTCAGGGGTACGGGCGCAAGATGGCTGACGCAAGCACTCGTGTGTATTGCATCAGCCGGTTTGGATTGGTTCAGCGTCACAAGGGTACAAAAAGAGTTGATGTCACATTAGGCCTTTTGTGCAGGCCATCATGGCGGCACCTATGGACCCGCACGGGGGTCGTACTATATCTACATACGTTAGTTGAGTTACTTGTCGACATAAATCGAGGGGAATAGGAAAGACTTTTAGAATATACATACAGTAATTTCATTGTCTATCGAATTTTATTTATGTCTGAAACAAATTTCCCTTCATTTGTTCTACCAAATTTTTATATTGTTGCTATAAGTACCACTTATTATACTTCCCCTTGACTTGAATAAAATGTACACTGGATTTTAAACTGAACCTTTGATTAAAAAGTTATTCCTGATTAAGATGTGCACTCCATTTTTAGTGACTAAACATTTTTTCTATCATCTGTGCATATACTCTGGCAAAGTTATTCTTTTCATTGCTTTTTGAAATCCTTTTGAAACCAAAAGATCAGATTCTGTGTGGTTGTTTGGCACTATGGTTTTCTACACATTCAAGTTTAGGGAAACTATTTTTATTAAATTTGTTGAGGACTTATTTTTAATTCTTCACAAAAAGGAGAACCAATTGAATGGATTAGCATTGAAGACTACGGGAAAATTATACATGACTTAGGGACATTCTAACATCGGGACACTCTTGATGAACCAATTATGTCGGCATCTGGGGGGTCTCACTGTATTCTGAGAATAGAATATATTGGAATTTGAATCAAACCGTAATTTGATTATTTTCCATTTTTTAAATTTTACGTTGCACCTTTAAAATTTTGAAACGATTTATATACAGTACACTATAGTTCACAACATATTTTGAAAGGTTAATTAACCTTGAAGCAATTCTATGAGATGAGTAAGATTTTCACAGCACAGGTTATCTATCATCCATTAACACTCCTTCTGTTAATTACTGAATAATCCTCAAGCATAGTTAATCCTCTCCATCACACTCCATAACCTTCAGAGTGAAAGGAGCGGAAAACTTCTGGCCTCGTCAGGGCAAGTTTTTGACGCATTGCCTATTACGTGATCCATATCGACGAGCTCCATATGTATCCATCAGATGAAGAGCGGACCAAATAGCAAGCTCTAATAATGTTCGCTAACTGAGAGTCGCAAAACTTCCAGGACCAAGATGCTTCTTTATTCCTGTGCACTCCAGAAATTCTATCCCAAACTTTACATCGAGTACAAGAAGCTGCCGGTTTTCCGCAAAAAAAAAAAAGATGAACAAAAACATGTATGTTCAGTATGTGATCCCGCACACAGAGAAACTTGAAATCATTGCGTTACCTGTTGAAGAAGGATGTTGTTTTTGCTTCGAAAAACAAAACAAAAAAACTATGTGCTTTGGGTTAGAGGGAATGCTGATAAAATTCGCTCTCTCGAAAATCTCAAGTGATGTTTGCTCTTTTGAAATATAGCCACGTGTGTGGAAACACGTGACTCATCGAGGACGCATTCAGCAATGCGACGAGACTGGGGTATGCTCGAGGGTACAATTTGTGGGACTGGGTGCCGCATGGGTGCTGTCCTTTATTGTGATGTCTAGTTGGCTATGAACTCGTTTTAGTGCCTTTGTGGGTGGATTTACTCTTGTTGTACCAATACTGTACATGAAAAGCTGAACACGCCCCTGACATCAAAGCGAGTTTTGATCTGGCATGTTTGAGGGGCTTTCGATTCAATCAGCTCGGTTTATCCGAG